CTGTTAAAAAAAAAATTACTGATATGAATTGGAGTCCTGAAATTTTTAATATTCGAAGAATTCTTGTACAAAAAAATTAACCCATTTTATATTGGTTAGAAGATGGTCCAAAATGTTTATTTGTAAGAGAGAAATTAATGCTAAGTTTGTATTACGATTTGCCCCCAAGATGAGTACTTAATTAATATTCACCTTCGTCTGCTATTAGCTCTTCTATTGTTTTACTAATTTCTTCTTCTGTCATAGGATGCTCTTCTTTAGATAAAGTATAGTAAAGGCTATATAAATTTTCAATACTAGCAAGGAGTTCTTTTTTACCTTGATATCATTTTTGATATTTACTTATTCTTTTTTTATAGGCATCCTTATTTGGAAATAACATAATAGCAATTGATTTTACATATTTATCAGGATTATTCTCTTGACACAAATTTTTTATATATGTGATATATTCACTAACTAGCTTGCTATTTTTTTTGTAGCAAATATGTATTGCCTCTCTTATTATCTTAAGTTGTGCCTCCTCAATGCTTTTCCATGTAATATTACTTGCTAGAGTATTTTCTGTTATTGTATGTTAACACTAAGTCTTTGCTATATAATAAAATAGTTAGTTTAAATTTTAAATAAAAAAATCTAGAAAAAAAATATTATAATATTATATAAAATAGTTGAGCTCATCTTTTATAAACCCAAATCTATCAATATTTTTTGAGGAATATTATTTCTATATTGCTCTAATGCAGATAGATAAGCCAGAATTCGACAATCTTCAATTGCCCATGTCATTACTCAGTCATTTAATATCCATCTCTTGGAGTCAAGTGGGTTGATACTTCTTTTTGTTTGGTAGATTATATATAGAACAAAACATTCACATTGCAAGAAGTTTGCAGTTCGGGGTTTATTCTTCACACCTTCTAAAATACAATGCTCATAAATATCAATAGTTAGTTTTTTTTTGACAAGAGATTTTTTGAGACCCTTTGCCTTCTGTATATTTTTATACTCGTCTTTAGTTTCCAATACATAAGACTTTGATCAGTTTCCAGCATATTTTAATGCTCAAGTTTTTGCAAACTCATCTTTCCACTTTCCAATTACTTTCTTATTTTTTAGCTCACATGAACTATCAGGAAGACATACCTATTGATCTGAAGAAAGTTTTTCAAGTAATGAATGATCTTCAGGATAATTACTGAAATTATAGAGCTCCGCATTTTCAATCATGTCGGCATAGATATCCTCAGTCTTAATTTCGATAATTAGTGAGTCTGTATCGGTATAATATAATTTTGCATGATCTTCATACTTACACTTGATATGATTATACCAGAAATTATACATGTAATATTAACTAAGATTTAAAATTGAAGCCCCAATATAGATTGGCTTGTTAAGTACAACATTTGTTAGCCTCCGATGGACTGCTATAAGATTACTTCCATGAAATATTTTACATCCAACTAGTGCTAGGTCTGCCAACATTTTACGAAGTCGATGCTCCTCTCCTGTTGGTCATACTAAATCTACTCGTGTGCAATGCCAAACATTCTCCATAGTTTTTCCGAATACTGCATTGATCATTAATTTCTATAGATCTTTTTCAAATGCATTTTATGCATCACGATGCCATATAGTATTTGCTGTAATATATGGTTCAAGCCAGGAAAATTGATCAAACTCTAATACACGGTATACATGCTCAAGTTCCATCCCTAGTTCAAGACACTGTTGGAGATTTTGGTAACGAATAATATAGCGATCTTTAGTCTCTAAAGTTGCTACCAATTTTTCTGTTTCCGCAAATTTTTCAGTGCTCAGTTTATCATTTAGATCATTATTTTGGTATGGACTAAGCTCACTTCGCTTAACTACCTGACGTTCTGGGCAGAGCAGATAGTCACTATGTGTTGGGTGAAGATTTTCTGGATATCTTAATTTTACTTCCCAAGCACTGCCTCGTTTTGCAGTTGGTGAAATAAACCATATATCTTGCAAGTTGTTTATGTCAAATTCTCCTGTTGGCAAATATTGAGACATAGCCTATCCATATAAATTATTAGCATCTAGATAAAGAAGCCATTTGTTGGCTTTTCACTTATCATAATCTTTAATTCCTAGAAAATTGGCTTTTGCTATATGATGTGGCACTATAGAATTTCTACCTTGCATCCAATATTGAACAAACTCATGTATATCCTCCTGCCTCTTATAGATTAATTCGAGCTTGACTTTAGTTATCTTTTTTGCCATATCAAATGTGAATGATGGTAATGTTATCTAGTTCAAAGAATCTAGTTCAGATATTTTCTTCATTGTTATTCAAAAACACTGAATTGAGTCCGCTAATATTAAAACATTGGTTCTGAGGTATAAATCATAATAGTCTTCGAATGTTTTACACTTTGCTTCCTTCTATACTTTCTGCGCATGGTCATATTGCTTTTGACTGATGGTGTAAATTTTTTCGTGCTCACAATCGTTGACCTCCTTTAAATCCTCTTCCTTATATTTTTCATTGCACTTTTTACTCTTTATTTCATGTTTGCACTTTTTACACCATTCTTGCAATAATTTAGTCTGCCTAGTACTGTGTTAAATTTCTCTCTTGATGGAAGCTTTGTTTTTGTGAAGTGCTCAGAATCATTCTATTTATATAGATACTCACTTTTTTGTGTAAGTAATAGAAGCAAATGCTGAAGAATACTCTGTGTCATAATTGGAAAACATTTGGCCAATTGCTCTGGGGTCTTTTCTTAACCACGCAAATTACTTGCTACTTTTTCCAATGATAGAAATTGAAATTGGCAGGAGTCTATAAATTTTATCTAGCCAATTATTATCATCTTATAGTTCTCCTAATTGTCCGCAATTATTTCGATTTTGTCTTCACTAATTAGGCCTAATTCCCGTATTTTATGATAGAAGTTATAATGCTTCCTACTATAATATATTAATGAGATCTTAATTTCATCTGGCTTAATATGGAGTTGAAGATTACAGCCACGGTGTGCTGGACTACGATATTTTTCAGTGAAATGATCATGATCTCTAATTTTGTTTTTATTTATATCAGCTTGAAGTTTCATCTTACATATACAACATTCGGAAGCTGTTTTGAATATATTTTCTTCTTCTATACTTAAACCTTCTGTATGATATATAGCCTCTGCAAGTTTTTCTTCTGTGGCCTTACATTTGATTTTACACAGCCATAATGTGATGCACCTATGAATTTTTTGGAAGTATCGAAATATTTTACTTTATTATATCGGGCTTCATGTAGAGGACCTTCACATATATAACATTTTCTGGCAGAGTTATATGTTCGCCAATCATGTTCTGTCATTTTTATTTTTTCTAAATTGCACAACTTTGGCTTGATAATTTTTTCCAAGTCTCGTTGCATACTTTCCCATGACTCTGCAATTAAGTTTGGAGTTCACCTAACAATTTCTTTTGCAAGCTTCTTATCTGTTTGGATCAATGCATAGCCATAACTATTAGGCTTCTGCTTCTGTAGTTTAATAGTCTTTTCATTGATAATGTTATTCTCTACTGGATCACTATCTGCTTCAAGATCTTTAACAAAATAAAATGATACGTTTTCCATTGCCTTATAATTTTCGAATTTCATAATGTGCTTACCTTTTTCCGTAAAGATTTCTCTTTGCCCAGCATTAGGATTATTTTGACTGTGGTAGTTGTACTTTATATGTTCTTCAAGTAGATCCTTTCTTGAAAATAGGGCAATCATACAGTGACGGCAGAAATATTTATACTCATGATGCTTATTCTAATTTTGCATGATCCTATTCCATCCATTTTTACTATTAATGAGACAGTAATGAGTATTTAATCCTGGAGTGATTTCATTAATATTACAGCGATCCCTCAAATCTTCCTCTCCTTTAGTAAATAAAATTAAATCCACTATATACTCTCTTTGATAATTATACTCCAATAAACGGAATGGGTCCAACTTTCTAGTTGCTTGCTCTTTATCATTTTTTTCTGGTACAGGATAAAATATATTTACTGCATAATTTGGATTATTTTCTTCGAATATATCGATATCACGTAATGTGGATAGAAAATTTATACCAGAGAAGTCTAGTATATTATTAAAGCGTTGTAGCCTACTAACATTATGAAGATTTCTTGCTCTTCGACCCTGTCTACAGGCCTTTTCACTTGCTAAATAAGCTTTCATACATGCTTCGAAATATCTTTCGTCTGTATTTTAAGAGTTAATTATCTCTAATTGAGGTTTGGCCCATATTTTTGGTAATGCAAAATAGGAACTACCTTGGAGTGGTTAGTACACACTTATTTCTAGAAAGATCTTTTTTTCATACTCATATATCCAATCTGAATGTTGATTTTGCTCTATTTCATCGATTTTATCTAAGATTTCATTATACTGACGTGAAACTGTTTAGTCTATTCATTCTAGCAAATAATATCTAAAATTTTACTTGGAAATGCTATGTCTTGATCTATTCGATGTCCAAAATACCCTCCTTGTGCAATCTGATACATATAAGCAATAAGAACTATTTTTATTTTAATACCTCCTAATTGAGCTAATTCTCTTTTATAAACATTGCTAATTTGGTCTTCAACATTCTCGAACGTGGCTAAGGAATCTTCTCGATATGGATAAGTTTCTAGAATAATAGCAAGATGATCGATACATAAACCTTAGTCAAAAATTCTTCTAGTTTCTACTAACCTTTTTGGAGCTAGATCTTCTATTCTTCGAAATATTGGTTTTTTTTCTTCAGATTCTGACTTGTTATTAGATTCGGATTCAGAATCTGATGTATTTCCTTCATCTGCGATCTCATAGTCGCTTTCTCCCTCCTTCGACCCTTCTTCTGGTTCTGGTAGCTCAGAAGGTTCGGGTAACTTAGGTGGTGTTGGGTCTCCTCAGCTTGGTAAGAGATTTTCGAACAATCATCCTAATATACCGGTAATAGTACTAAGTATTCCACTCATGTTTTTCTAAAGATAAAATATGGTTACAAAAAAGTTTAAAATAAAAATTAATTTATTCAGATAGTTATAGTTACATATTTATTCAAAAAACAAACTAATATGGGATTTTATAAATGTTCATATATTCTTAGGTCCGGAGATGTATGCAATAAGGGGTACTATTGAGAAGAAGGGTATAAAGTTCATTGGAAATCTCCTAATCGAGTTTCCTGTATAGAATGCGAAAAATTAACTTGCTCTATTTATAGTGCTTGTAGGAAACATGCAGGTAAATATTGCATTTGAGATTTTTATCAGTGTCAAAAGCTTGCAAAAATTCAGGCAAATGATAATCTAGTGATGAGCTAGTGCCAGAGATGTTCTAGAACCCAAAATGTATATATTTATATTACATTATTTTTTACCTTGAGGTAAAAATTATGTTTCTATTTGCTTATAATATTAGCATTCATTATATGCTTTTTAGTTTGTTTACATGTGCTTTGCTTTGCTTCACACAAAGGCTTCGCTTCACTCCACTTATAGTAAACCATGTATTGTATTCATTATATGCTTTATAGTTTGTTTACATATGCTTTGCTTCGCTTTGCTCTGCCTATAGTAAACCTTGTCTTGCATTCATGATTGCTTTCGAATATGCCTCATTATTAGCATACACTAGAATAGTAGCATATAGGTTAAAAAAATATAGCATCCACATTCACTTTACTCTAAAAGGCTTGCTTATGTTCCTGCTATATTTTTTCTCCCAAGGGCATTCGCATTACCCTAAGGGTTTATGCTCCTGCCTCTTCTTCAGCTACCTATATGGTATACTATTGGGAGGCGATTTTTTGATATCTAGAGCAACCTTCTAGGTTTATTTGGAGGTCAAGGGCTTTTTGTACCAAAAAGCCTATTTTTCTACTACTAATATTAATATAAATATATAGTTATAAAAGATAAATTTTATAATTTATTATTATTTTTTTTTAATATTAAGGTGACTACTTAGGCCCTTGGCACTTTATTAGTACAAGCAGTTAAGCCATATGGGGTGTTGTCAATAGAAACAGCCCATTTTTACAATTTTTTGAAAAATGAGTTTTTAATAGATTCATATAAA